CATGACCTACTCACATCACGATTGAACCCCGCAGACTGTTGGTTCCCACCACCCACTGAGCCAGGGAGTCACTCCGACGAGCATCTGTCATCACCTACAGGCAACACAGACATCCCAAACTGAGCGGCCCCCATAAAAGTGCAGTAGGCACTCCAAACGAGGAACCACCGACTGTTTGGCACTACTTAAGGGTGCTCAGTTGGGTAAGTAAAAATACTTAGAAAAAGATCGGAGGGAGGACAGACAACAAGAGGAAAACAGACAAACATAAAACTGATTGTGTGTGTGTGTGTGTGTGTGTGAAAGGTGGCGGGGGGGGGCCATACGTGTGTTTGGGTGGGTGGTGTGTGTGGTAAGAGGTAACAGCAGGGATGTGGTTAGGAGAGAGAGAGGTTTGAACTTGGTAGGGGTTTGGGGTTGTTGGTTGCTGCTTCTTTTCTAACTCGGACTCCTTTATTGCTTTCGATCTCTGCCTCCTCCCGCGTGTACCCATTCCTCAACATTGTTTTCCCTCATTTTTTTGTTAACGGGGACCTGCCTCTTTCGTATCATCTTTCCCTTCTCCATTAGGCAAAACTGCAGGAGCTGAAAGTGGGGTTCCCCGTTAACCACTGTTGTGGCTTTTTTTTTTTTTTTTTTTTTTTTTTTTTCTGTGTTCATTACACGCCTTGTTCAAAAAAACAAAAGACTGGCAAGCTGGTCATTTGAGCCACGATTCACGCCTTACCGAAACTCAGTCAGGGTAATCACTAACGAATCCGGCTCAGAAACATCACAACCCTGGCATCTACGTAGTAACTTTTTCCTTTCCCCCTTTTTTTTTTTTTTTTTTTTTTTTTTTTTTTTTTTTTTTTTTTAACCACTTGTGGATGGGAGGGTAGGAAGGAAAAGTGGTACTTCGTTTCGATACGCTTTTTTGCCTGTATTTTTCTGCTGAATCGATCCACACACAGAATGTGGGGTACTTGATTCTAACAAGGGAAGCCTTGGGTGCTGTGCCCGGTTGTAATGAAAATACGAACGCCATGTGACAAAAATTCACAATATCAGTACAGAAGTAAGGATGGGAAAAGGAAAAGGAAACCCTACAAAAGGGGTGAACTCCATCAAAGATTCAAAGGTGTATTTAATGCACCAGATTAATGCAGCTTTAGCGATCCCCTCTAAGCTTCCCCTTTTGCTTTTTTTTTAATTTTATTTTTGTTGTCAATTTTGATTTCTCATGTGGAGGTTGATAACACTTCATCATGGAAGGGATTGGTACTAACCTGCTGCTTTTTTTTTTTTCCCCTCCGGCCCCCCCCT